TTCTGGATCCCGGCACCTCTACAGGCGCTCATGGGAGCTGTGCAAGCAATGCACATTGCTGGATGAAGCTCAGGCACCCACACTGGGCCACAGGTTAAGATGAGAAAAAAAAAAGCTTACAGCACCTGGTATTCCCAGGCGGTCTACCATGCAAGTACTAACCAAGCCTGACCCTGCTTAGCCTCCAAGACACATCAGGTGGTTTCAGGGCAATGTGGCCAAAGGTGACAACTCTGGGCTCAAGCTGGCGAAAAGGGAAGAAACAAAACACAAAAAAGCCTACAGCAGCTGGTATTCTTAGGCAATCTCCCATCCAAGTTCAAACTTCCACATCAGGGATACATGAGCTAGTTCATAGCCTAGAAACAATTCAACTAGCACCACTACTGAAGGCAGCCCTGTTGCAGTCAAGGAGACGGAATGTACCTATAGAAAAACAGAAGCTAGACAGGGCGCCTTCCCTAATGTAAAACCTTTATTAAAGAACATATATCCACCATCAATTATACTCACAAGGAGAAATGATCAATGAGCCATTTTTGCTGCTTGCTGAAGTCACAACCACTGTATTGACAACGAGGGCCACAAGCAATCACGCAGGGATGACAAACACTAGCTAGATGTCTTCAAACCCCGCTGCTGGATGCTGGCGCGTTTCCAGAACCACGCCCCTGTGACAACATGGTGATGAGTTTATAAGTTAAATGTGTATTGGTGTTGAGTTATGTTTGAGTGCGTTATGCTGTGTGACCTGGTTATGGAAAGACTATCAGCACCATCCCTCGTTATCTCCCATTGCACTCTGAGGGAGCTCAGAACAATGACATTCTGGCCAGGCTGCTGCTATGGCTGTCTGGAGTGCGTTAGCAGGTGGACACCTGTGGTGTTGAGCAGACCGATTGTCTGGGAGGGGAGGGTGGATGTGACGGGATTATATTCTGATTTCATCACTTGCTGTATAAAAGTTTGTGCAGTTGCTCAATAAAGCAGAGTTAGTTTACCCTACACTGAGCCTCGACTAGTGACTGGGGAAACTGGGAGCTAAGGATCTTCAGGTTGCAATATCTCCTCAGCAAGGAAGAAGACAGCGGCGGACATACTCATCCTGAGTACGGGGGTCCGTCACAGCCCCCTTCTTCAGAGCAGCCCTGGACTCAAACCAACCTCTTCAACTTGTGGTTGCAAAGCTGGCAGCCTGCTGGCGAAAATGGAGGAAACAAACAAAAAAAGCCTACAGCTGTAGGCTTTTTTTTACCAGGCCGAACACCGCTTAGCCTCCAAAATCAGACAAAATTGGGTGCTTTGAAACCCAGCCTCAAAATAACCTCTTCAACTTGTGGTTGCTGAGCTGGAGAAAACAAAAAAAAAAAGGCCTACAGCACCTGTTATTTCCTAGGCAGTCTCTTAAGCACTAACCAGGCCAACCCTGCTTGGCTTCCGGGATTAGACAAGAATGGGCGCTTTCAAGGTAATGTGGCCGTAGGCAGGAACCATGCCTCAAAGCAACCTCTTCAACTTGTGGTTCGCGGAGCTGGCAGCCAGCTGGCAAAAAGGGAGTAAACAAAAAAAAAAACCCCATATAGGTATTTCTAGGCAAAACCCCTAGACTGCCTAGAAAACCCCCCTGGTATTTCTAGGCAGTCTCCCATCCAAGTAATAACCCAGCCTTATCCTAATTAGACTCCTAAGTTTACACAATATGGGATGCTCTCAGGGTTAAGCGGCCATAGGAGACACCACCGGCCTCAAACCAACCTCTTCAACTTGTGGTTGCTGAGCAGAAAAGAGAGGAAGCCAAAAATAAAGGCTTGCAGCATCTTGTATTTCCAGTTCTCCCATCCATGTACCAACCAGGCCCAACCCTACTTAGCCTCCGAGATTCAACAAGATCAGGCACTTTCAGGGTGATTTGGCCATAAGCAGCAATCCTGGCCTCTGAACAAGCTCTTCAACTTGTGGTTGCCGTACTGGCAGCAGCTGGTGAAAAGGGAGGAAACAAAAAGAAAACAGCATACAGCACCTGGTATTCCCAAGCAGCCTTCCTTCCAAGTACAAACCAGGCCCAACCCTGCTTAGCCTCCAGAATAAGACAAAATGGGCGCTTTCAGATTTATGTGGCCATAGGTGACAGGTCCGGGCTCAAACCAACCTCTTCAACTTGTGGTTGCTGAACTGGCAGCCATCTGGTGAAGAGGGAGGAAACCAAAAAAAAGCCTGCAGCACCTGGCATTCCCAGGTGGGCTCCAATCTAAGTAGTAATGAGGCCCAACCATGCTTAGTCTCTGAGATCAGACAAGATAGGGCGCTTTCTGGGTGATGTGGCCATAGGCGACCACCCTGTCCTCAAACCAACTTTTTCCACTGACGAGCTGGCAACAAGGAAGGAAACCAAAACCCTGGGCTAAAACCAACCTCTTCAACTTGTGGTTGCTGACCTTGCAGGCAGCTAGTGAAGAGGGAGGAAACCAAAAAAAAAAAAAGCCTACAGCATCTGAAATTCTCAGGCGGACTCCCATTCAAATACTTACCAAGCCCGACCCTACCTAGACTCTAGCATTTGATTTGCAATTTCCCGCTCACTCGCGAGCGGGAAACTGACAAAATTTAAAAACTGTCAGCGATGCCTGTTTGCATACAAGCGATCCGTTGGCTATAGAGCCGGTGGATAGCTTGTATAAGGTTCCACAGCCCCCTCCCGCCGTCCTGCTGGTCCTGAGTTCCGATGTGCCCGGTGTGAGCGCGGGACCAGCATGGTGGCTCTGTGACAGGGGATCAGAGGGACATCGGTACACGATCTCCCTCCGGTCTCCTCTCTGAACGTCAGAGTGAGAGAAATAATTCTAGGGCCATTACTCACTGATAACACTAAACTGATGATAAACGGACGGTAAAAGCTTTTAAAGTGTCGCCTACGGTCAATTTTGGGTATGGTAGTTTTTTTGCAATTTCGCAGGTGCACGCAATTGTAAGGCTTGACATGTTTGGTGTCTATTTACCCAACGTGACCTTGTCTTTTATATTTTACCAAAAAATTGGGTAAGAATAAATGTATGATAATGTAAAAAAAACTTTTTTCCCCAAAAAGTTTCAGTGATTTTTTTCCTTAAAGTGACAATAAACCCTCAGATTTTTTAACATAAAACAATACTGTAGTGTGTGCCTTACTGTAATCCATGGTTGTTTCCCTTCTCTTTGCTGCTCTTCCTTTTAAATCTGTATCTGTTCTCATGCTCTGCAGAACTTCTGTTTTGTCTTGTCTCAGGAATGGATACACGGTGTCTGTGTATACGTTTGTATAGGCTTGTAACCTGAGCCAGCACTACAGGAAGAGGCCCTGAGCTGAAAAGGGAAGTTCTCCCCAAGCATGAGAAGACATGAGGATTTAAAAGGAAGAGCAGCAAAGAGAAGGGAAACAGCCATGGATTACAGTAAGGCACACATTACAGTATTGGTTTATGTTAAAAAATCTGAGGGTTTAATGTCACTTTAATATAGTAAACAATTAAAACCCCAGTGGTGATTAAATACCACCAAAAGAAAGCTCTATCTGTCCCCAAATTTTTTTATAAGATTAATTTCAGTACAGCGTTGCATGACAGAATAATGTCAAAGTACTGCAGCGCTGAATACTGAAAAATGGCCCGGCCAGGTAGGGGGCGTAAACACCTGGTCAGCAAGTGGTTAAAGGAAATGGCAGGTCCACTTATGTGGAAGCAGTTATTGTTTATCACACTTGCCAAGTATTGTGTATTACAAAAACAAGTGTGTGTTTAGATGTGTAGTTTAGAAACATCTTCAGTTGCCTATCAAAAACTACTACTATTAACCACTGCATTTTCAAACACCATAAGGAAACATCAGAGACAAATAATGAGTGAATTAAACCATGTAATCATTTTTATTCACCAGTAGAATTAAAAAAAATTTATTTCTTTAAATCAGCATATGCTTTACACGCTCTAAAAAGGATCATTAGTACATGTACCAATTATCACCAGCTCTAGTGACTAAGTGCTCTTAACAGACCATGTTGATGGAGCATCTGTGGAAGTGTTATCTATCAAAAACTGGCATACACTCCAGAAGGCGTTGCTTTTTCCTAGTCTCCACTCTTCTACTCATTCACTTCACAGTAGTCGATAGCTACTCAACCTTGCTGCTTTATATGCCCTGCTAAAGCATGATCCACATAGAAGATAACTAGTTAAATAACTTTAGTAACTTTACAATATAACAGGCATCTTCTGGTACAACACCCTTGATTTATATTATATTATTATGGCCTACGTCTGAAAATTCCGATAAACAGAAACAATATTTTTTAAATTGCCTCATACATGGCAAATGTATTTGCCTGAGAACTAAATGTCATAAATATATCAAAACATTTCAAAATAGGACACAAAAGCTGATAAAGATTTTTTTTTTTTTTTAGTAATTATAATTAGGGAAGACAAGTACAATGGTGGTCCTGAAGAGACTTCCAGAGTTTATAGATGGTCCCACTGTAGCATAAATAAAATAAAAAAAACAGCTGTGATTCTTCTAAAAGATAACATTTCAAAAGTTGGAGCAAAAATATTCAAACACAATGGTGGGCCTTAGAGGCCCACCAAGTGTGCTTCTGGTCCTCACGTTACAAAGCTTCCAATGTAATGAGTACATTACTTGGAGGAATATGTTCTTCACACAAACGGTGACATGCTTTGACAAATAATCTACAGTACATGCAGAACACTCGTGATACCTGCACATCCTCAAAACCTGCTGCTCCTATTCATTTAACTTGTGTTGTATTCTCTATTAACCTGACAACATATACCAAAACAAAGTTCTGGTTTACAGGATAAGCACAAGCATTGATTTACAAAAATGCCCAAATTTTTTTTATCATTCCATAATATGGTCAGATAAGTCACTAGGTGCAACATTTAAGCTGCATGGAATTTAAAAGTGATGTCTAACAGAAAGCAGCTCATGAAAAAGTGCTTGCTGAACATAGTAGGTAATAGGAGAACAAAAAGGTCATTAGCTGAAGAGATACTTGCACATATTTTTGGAATATGCATTTGACAAAATATGAGGTTAACATAAATACGATTTAGGGTTCAGATACCAGTCTGAAAATAGCAGTCTCCGTCCATTGTAGTATTACAGTGCGCACAACAGAATCGATAATAAAAGTTTAAACAGCAGCCAACTTTACGTGCCTTCTTTTCGCTTCTATCTTATTCCATAAAACAATGCTCCTTTTCACAGTAATTGAAGGGAAAACGTGAGTCCGTTTGTTAAGAAAATATATATATGAATATTACATATGATATCTTTCAGATTGTACACTGCACTTGGACAGAAATTCTTTCAGGGTAGAGTGAGAATTGCTGATTCCTTTAGATCTTCTCACAAAATGGCTTCCATCCTCATGACGACATTACGTTTGCTTAATTGCGGGCCGCTATTACAACTGAAAGGGCTACACCTCCTATTGCTATAGCTGTTGCCCCAAAAAGCCACTTCCAGGAGATAGACTGTGGGAAGAAAAAAAATAAAAAATATATTGAATATACAGGTTACATCTGAAGCTCATGACTGTATTCATGCAGTATCCCATTTATAATAGCCCTGCTGTTTACACCTTTGTACAGTATTTTCTTTTCTTTTTAGAAGAACCACTATCAGGTTTTTCTTGCTGTTTTGTAGTCAACTTGGATGATTTCCCTGCACTTCCAGTCCCTTAAACTTGACAAGAAGTAAAAAGAAATGTCTCCAAAGTGAAGGAAAGTCCATCTCTGACTGCTGTCACTGGAACATATGTTCCCACTAGGATATTTCCTGTCACTTACTGTATAGCTGCAAAATGACAAATTTTTAATCCCTCTCCTTTTCTGTACCTGTGTGAGTAATGTCACTGGGACAAAAAAAAAAAACAGAGGTTGAACATTCTTACCAAGAATACAGATGGCTTTAAAAATAGACAAACAAACCCGAGAGAAATTCTAATTTTTATTCACTCTATCCAGAATTTAAAAAAAAAGTAACCAGGTAAAAATCTAAATATTATTAATCAGAGAAGTGACAATGTAATTTTGACTTGCGGGCCAAGAGTGAAATAAGGTCTCCAGCAACATTGCAAGGAGATGTTTGATTTTGCTCTTCAGCTTCTAATAAAATTGTTTTGTACTTGATTTGAGTACTACAAACTTCTATCCAATACCAATGGAGAAGCAAGGATTTTCTCATCACAGTTACCACCGCGACAAGAGGCCAGAGAGAGCTGACCCCCAGCACTGCAAAACATTATTGCCTCCTCCTTGCAGCAAGCAACTGTGCAAGAATGGTCTATAGGGGCTAAAGGTCTACAAGTAATATAAAATCACATATAGCATGAGCACACTGCTGAGGCACATAAGTATACTTGGTGACAAATACTGTATATAAACCAAATACCTTTAGTGGAGGGGCAATTCAAGAACTGCTGATAAGCTAAGATGGGACATGTTGCAAAGGAAGTCTGGGACTTTCTCTGAAAATGCCACCTAAAAGACTGATCTTCCACCCGATATATGAAAGGATTTGACAGGGTACAGCAGCTATATTACTCTACACTCGTGATGAGGGAAGTGTATGTAGACTGAACCTAGTCTTACCAGAACTTGAGAAGGACAGTAACTCTGAAAAGGAGAGAATAGAGCCTAGAGACACTACAAGTCACAATATATTCCAATGTCAGACATACAAGTTCCTTGGGGTAGGTCTGGCTTGCCAGGTGACATTACTTCCAGATACAGAATGCTGCCAGTACAAATTGGCCCCTTAGGTACTCAAGCTAAATGTCTTTTAAGTGACATAGTTCTGTGCAATTTCTTGGGAAAAGATTTCTCGCTGTGCATACTTGCACATTAGGGGGAAAAAACCCATCATATACAAAGTGGTTTACTTCTGCTTTAAAGTTTGTGTTATTTTTTCAGCGCTCTCCATCACTCTGTGTATGGACAAACCTTTGTTTCAAATTCATCATGCTACTGTAAAATATTTGAACTTATCAGACTGTTTGGTGTGTAACTCTCTTTATTGGAGTTCATTTAAATTAATCAGAAATGTCTGATTATCTACATCCTGCTAATTTTGCCTTTGAATTGTGTTTGAACATTTTATGTCATACTAAAGGTTGTAAAGAAATAAATGTGTTCCAGCATGTGCTGTAGTGACAAATTGGAAGGTTATATCTATTCAGCTTTGGTAGAAACACTATAATGGATTTTTTTTTTCATTTTGTTAATTGTACTGACTAGGGATCTTTTTCATTGTGGATAGTCATCTTGGGCCAGAGCTAAAATGGACTAGTCTAGGTGAGACCTTTGCAGCATTGTTGGATGACTTTTGCTTTACATATTTCTGTTTCTGCTGAAGAAAGCTATTGTTTTGTTGGCTGTGGAAGGAATAAAAACTGTTTTCTTTTAAACGGACTGTGTCACAAATGCCTGTTTTTCATGTCATATTAAAGCAGAATTAGACCCACCGATGTAACTGTCTACCAAAACAGTTACTTTCAAGGTATGCCAACTGTTAGGGTTACCAATGTGTTTATTTCAGCTCTCAATCGAACTTCCAAGCCCTCAAATGGCTGGTGTCATCGTTATCACATGGGCAGCACCACAGCAACTGCAATCCAAATAGAGGCTAAGATGAAACCTTTCTCAGCTGTAAAGATTAAAAGTAGGGATAGAGGATACCGATTTTTTGGTATCGAGTACGAATACTGATACTGGCATCCATGGGCCCAGATTATCAGGAACCCGTGCGGCAGGTCCTGTGAAGCCTGTGTTCCATCAAAAGAACACTGGTTTCACTTCAGCCTGGCTTCCTGACCAATAAGGAAGCCGGGCAGCGGGTCATGACGTTCCGCCCGGCTTCCTGATTGGTAAAGAAGCCAGGCTGCCTAGCAACAAGTTAAGCCGGCTTCCTAGCCAATCAGGAAGCCGGGAGGTGGGTCATAGCCTGCCATGCCGGCTCCATGCTCCCTCACGGCACTACTCCCTCACGGTACTACGGTATCGGGGTATGTATCGGGTGCATTTGGGCTAGTACGAGATTCCTTTTAGATTGTAAGATCTCATGGGCAGGGCCCTCCTTACCATCTTGTCTTGAATTGTATTGTAATGTCTTCGTTATATTGTAAAGCACTGCACAAACTGTTGGCGCGATATAAATCCTGTATAATAAATAATAATAATACTCGGTATCGGCACAGATACCGATACTAGTATCAGTGCATCCCCAATTAAAAGTGTGTAGTTTCGCTTTCAGCTAATAAGAAAGCGTACATTACAGATTACAGGGTTCATGTATTATTACATACATAGTATTTGAGGTTGAATAAAGACATTAGTCCATCAAGTCCAACCTATTAGGATCTCATTCTAGGAGTACCTGTACCCCTGTATATTATTGAGTTTAGCTTCTAGAATTGCGTCATGATGGGAGCGAGCTTGGAGTGGTGGCCACTTTACAACACACACAGGGACCATGGGGAACAAAAGTAGCCACCCTCCAGAAGGAAGGACAGTGTCAGTATGAGTTCAGAGATGATTTGAGGATCTACAGCTGAGTGATACCCAAATAAGCTACATTTTTGTTAGTGAGGCTTGAATGCATTTTTAAGAATTAACTTCTAAATTTAGTGTCTTTTTAAGCTGATAACAGAAATCAATGTATCTTGAAACTTTTGTAAATAGGATGTGTGTTGTGTGTACAAATTCTTAATACGTTAAATGTTTTAGGGATCTCCAATCTGGAAAATAAATATAAAAATATTAAATATTATGTAGTGTTCAAATTTATTTGCTCCATTGTTGTCAAAAGCCAGTTTGCAGAATGCAAGCTGAAATTTATACACACACATATGAATGAGTCAGAATAGTGACTCATCCCTTGTCTAATAGCAACACAATTGCTGGTTGAATGACAGCCGGTGTGTCACCACCTTCATCTACATTAACCAGTAAGTACAAACACAATAGTAACACCTATGCATATAACTCTCTCAAATATCGAGCCACATTACA